CTACTATTGGTGCCCAGAACACTTTCACCATGCACCTGCCTGTCCTGCACTGTGCCCCTACAGTGGGTGCTGTGTGCTCCTGCCCAGGCCCGCCAGCACTGGGACTACCATACAGAGACCTAGTGAGCTGTTGAGGGAGCCATACTGGAGTCCTCCCCGACATCACACACTGCCTCCTGGGGCCCCAAGTGGTCCCAGGAGGAGACTGTGGACCTCATCACACTCTGGAGAGAGGCTGAGGTCCTCAGCCAGTTTGAGTAGAGCAGACACGCCAATGCACACATTTATGAAGGCCTGTCAGGGAATGTGGGTTCCATCCAGGGCCCTGATGACTGGGGACAAGCCCAGGGCATGAAACCCTGTACCACCTCCAGGGGGTCATGCACAGTGTGCCCCAGGATGTCTTGGAGGGCACTGCACACCTCCAGAATGGCCTCCCCGGTGGTCACCTTGCCCATGCTGAAGCAATGGCTGACATAGTGGAGGCTTGTGGACGTGGCCAGCTTGAGCAGGGCAATAGCCAGCCAGATGTCTGTGGGGAGTGGCCGCTGCATGGTGGTCCTGCCACTCCAGGTGCAGGCAGAGCTGCTCAAGGAGGTCCTGGAAGGTGGCCTGGGTCATGCGAAAGGGCTCCAGCCACTGCTCATCATCCCAAGTGGTCTGGACAATGTGCAGCCACCAGTCCTGGCTGGCCCAACAGGCCCAGAGGCAGTGGGGCTGGAGGCCCATGAGCACATAGATGACCCCAGTTGTGGCATCTAGGAGCACATCATCAGCATCCCTGCTGGGGTCCAGGTGGCAGCATGGGGTCTGGGCTGCAGCAGCGTGGTGTCAAGAGGCCTGGGACAGTGCGATGGTCCAGGCCAGGTGGCTGCACTGTGCAGGGGTGTTGCTAGAGCTGAGACTGACCTGGATCAGGTGGCGGTTCCCATGTCAGGCTATTAGGGTGAGCAGGGTGGCAAGCAGGAGTCTGGGGCAGTGGACATTGCTGCTGGGGCCTGGGGCTGGAGCAGCCATGTTGTGGCAGGCAGAGGCTGAGGCAACAGAGCTACTGTGTGCTACCACCATGCTCTGCATGTTGCTCTGGGTCAGGAAAGCAGGTGGCCTGGGAGTACTGCATGAGGCTGCCTTTTCAAGATGGCCATCAGCCACAGGCTGCTGCAGCCAGAGCCTCCAGCTCTCCCTGACAGTGGCAGGGGGCTGGTGCAGGGCTGTCCGAGGTAGGCCATGAGCAGCAAATCTGCTCCTGCATCCCTGAACATGTAGACACCTGCTTGGAGTAAACCCACCATACCACTTTTGTATGTATAGACATGCTCATGGTCACCAGAAGCCCCTGCTGTCTACTTCATCCCACCTTTGATTACCTCTGAAAGGCCTGGATTTTTTCTGAGATCTCAGGAAATTCTAAATCCCAATTATTAGTACCTAGGCCACTACTCGCAACCCAGCCCCCTTTGCCAGCCACACCCCTGTGGTTCCCAGTAATCATCAGAAACTGCAAAGGAATAGCCTGAAAATAGCAGGCACTTGGACCCTGGGGATACCTCCCCTGCCATAGCAGAGTGAATACACTGAAGTAGGGCTGGAAGGAACCTCGTGTGATCACCTAGTCCAGCCCCCTGCTCAGGACAGGATCATTCCTGACTAAACCATCCCATCCAAGTGTCTGCCCAACCCACTCTTGAAATTTCAGCGGACAGAGATCCCACAGCCTGTATTGGCAGCTTGTCCCAATGCTTGACCATCCTCATAGATAGTTCTTTCAAATCTCCAACCTAAATGTCCTATGCCCCAGACCCGTGGACTTTCTCCAGAGCAGCTTTGCCAGTGCATTCCAGGGTTTGGTGTGTAAAAGTAAGGTGAGGCATGCCTGAGAGATGCCCTCCTGCAAAACCAGGGGAGACAGAATAGACATAACCAGAAGGGCAAAACGATTTCTTTAAGGCCAAAATTTACAGCTGCACAGCTATGTGTCACTTGGGCATATAGGACGCTTGTACATATGATGCCATTACCATGTACACGTGATGAAAATGTCACTTTGTGCAGCTTAACAGTGTCACAGTGCAGGAGGCTGGGGAGTTTAAAAGGAGTTTGCATTGTTGCAAACTAAACTACATCCTCACCAGAACAGTGACAGAAACCCCTAAATTGAAAGGGTGAGTTCAATTAAAAACTCATCATTTCAATTTCGTGAGCATAGAATGCGACCCCCATCATGAGTACCAGAACCCAAAGCAGAGATCATTTCAGATGAAAGATGGTGCTCTTCCCCTATTTGCAGACCACTTGTAGTGATCTCTCAACTCTTAGCTGCAGGGACTTGTCAGAACTAAGAGATGTGGCTTTAGGCTCCAAGCACAGAGAAGATGCCTTCAGACAACTATTCCAAACACAAAACCAGTCATTTCCACTTACCTCTTACAAATTAAAGCCAGTTTCTGCTATCACCGCTCTGTGCTGAATACAGAGTTGCCAAGGGTCACAGAGTTGCCAGAGTACCAAGGGTCTAAATGAATGGCTTGCACAGAAAGCTCTATTCATGTCTCTGGGACTGGGGCTCTCTGTTTTCATAGTGGTGAATTTAGCCTACTGAAATTGCATGGGGGTAAGTAAAGACTGAATCTCTGCCCAAGTCATGTGCCAAGGATACCTGTTAAATGTGCATCACTACTAAGTATGTTAAATGCATGTGTCATATTAATATATGTCATATTTCTGCAATTATGAAATTATAGTGTCATAGTTTCATAGTTTCATAGTTTCTAGGGTCAGAA